AACAGTGCTTTTTAAGTAGAGGGGAGAAACAGTCACCCAAAGACAGAAGCAGTGACATACAGGCCAAATGCAGAAACGCTATGCATCAAGCAACTACCTCAACTTCAAAACAAGTATCGTTTCCATCAAAACACGAACTGAAATACCAAGTTGGAAAATAAAATAGCATGGGAGAAAAAAACGACTGCTAGAAATAAACTGAATGTAACAGAATAATTGTAGTCAGGTATAAAAATGGAAAAAGTACATTAGGATCGTTGAACTCTTCAACCATCTTCATCCTCTTCTTAGTGGAAATCGTTCCATCCACCCAAAAATGCCAGAGCCTTCTGAGGACAAAGAAAGGGATAAGAACTTTCATCGTTGACAAAGCGAATATGCAGATATCAATGCAAGCGAAAGCTCACTTTCAAACAGATCCAACGTTTGCCTGTAGTATAAAATGACCACAATATTATCACTCGAAGTAGTTCAAATAATTGCCAGCATATGATCAGGCAAGTGAGATGACACCAAGGTGGTACTGCATGCAGCGGCAAGTCACTAAGGTAAGCTGTTGCCGTTACTCGACTTCTGTTTTGTGAGTAGTCATAACCCACACCTTCTCAATCGAGGAGATAGGAGGCAAAAAGCTGTGGCAATGTTCAGAACTAAATGCAAGGATGGAGTTTCGTGTGAATGATTTCATCGCCTGTGCTAAAGCCTTTAAGCACAGTGCGGGCATGCGACGTTTAGGCTGGTTCAACAGGTTAAGCAGGTTACACGCCTGTCAGTAACAATTCATATCTTGATGTTTTGCGCTTAGACCACGGAAGTCACTTCCAGAATCAGCACACAGAAATCTTAGCACCGACGTCATTACCAATTAAAAGCCTACATACACTTGCATACAGAACTGGGTTTGCTACCAGCAACAGTGACTACTTGCGAAATGGTACACTTAACGAACACTGGGTACCAAAACACGAAAAAGTTGACTGCCGTGCTGATTTGAAGGGTAAATTTGTTGCTGAAAAGACCTGAGTTCTCTAATCTACGTAACTAGACGTGATAAAGTGTGAGTGTATCTTTTCCTATCTCGATCAAGATGACTGTCAAAAGTGTAAGCATGCGGCGTTTGGCCCTACATCACCAAAGTCAAAGTGAAGCAAGCTCTCTTTGAATCATTTAAATGCACTATTGTCTCGATATGACAAAGATTGTTCTTTGTTGGGTAAGCACTCGAATAGACGTATAAGTGTTATGGAAAGCAGTTGGAATTTCTCGACTATCAAATGCCTTCCGATAA